GTAGGAAAAGGCAAGGGTGATGGCAAACTTGACAATATCTGGAAGACAAACAGAATTACATACATAGACTAGAAATCTTACAGAGGAGGTTGCTTTGGGCGGGAAAAATAATGAGTTAAATTTGAGATGATGGTGCAGAATACATAGACAATATTTCAACAGACACCTTTAGATGTGTGACAGAAACTGGGAGTGGAGTGGGGAGCATTAGGGTTTTAAATTCAGGTTTGGGGGTGCTAGCTCTCTAGAAAACAAAGAAGCAACATATCTTGGGTCAGTTCACCTGATTAATGCCATAGATGATTAAATGGAATTTTCCATTCTTGCATTTACCAGGAAGTAATGCTATTTAAAAGAAAACTTCTCCTGGGAATCATCTTGAGGTTTCCATATCTTTGTCTTTCATCTTAGTTTATGTCTGCCTTCACATCTTCCATGCTCTGTAGAGACCCTTACCAAGACAATCTGTCCATGTTAGTGGACAATGGCCTGCACTGAGAAAATGTTAGCCTTAAATGAATGAACAGAAATCCAAAAGCTCTGTAAATGTCTATTAAAATTAATTTTTAAAAAAAAAGGTTAGCCTTACTCGGAGGTAACTTGACTTACTCACTGTCATTCAGTTGGCTCCAACTCACAGCAACCTGCCTCTGTGTTTCCAAGGCTGTTAATCATAATGGGAGGAGACTGCTCATCCTTCTCAGGTGGAACAGTTGGTGGATTTAAGCCATGAGAGATATTCAGCTTTTGGAATAATAGCACAGCTTACCACAGACAACACACCAGAGCTCCCTCAGGAAAACCTACCTAAAGTAAAATGACTCCTCAGAAAAAGAACAAACTTCAGTGTTCTTAATTTTCATAATACTGTCTTCATTGCTCAACTAACTGCCTAATGCTCTCCAGTGAAATCAGTTGCTGTTGTTGGATGCCATCAAGTCAATTACAACTCATGATGACCCTATGAACAACAGATCAGAACTATGTCTTATTCTGCGCCATTCTCACCATCTCTGCCTTGCGCAAGCCATTGCTGCTCTCACTGTATCAAATTGTCTTGTTGAGGGACTTACTTTCTCTGACCCTCCATCCTTCCGAGCATGATGTCTTTTTCCAAGCAGTGGCCCCTTCTGACAACATGTGCAAAGAATGTGAGATGGAGTTTTCACATCCTTGTCTCTAAGGAACACCCTTGGTTGCTCTTCCTCCAAGACAGGCTGTTGGTTCTTCTGGCAGTCCGGCGTGTTGAGTACTCTTCTCCAACACTCGAATCCAAAGGTGTTGATTCGTCTTTGGTCTTCTTTATTCACTGCACAGCTTTCAATCAACCCAGAGATTACCTTAAATAATAGGCTATGTTCTTTCATCTAGTCACCTCAGCCAATGTTTTGCAAAAAGGAGCCAATAAAAGACTCTAACCTCTATGATTTTAATGAATTCACAGAATGTTCATCACATTTCACCCTTGAGATTGCTGGATTAATAATTACTATATATATAAATATATCACCTCCACGACTACCAGGATAGCTCTCTATACTTAAAAAACAAATGGAAAGGAAAAAAAAA